TTAAAATACTGATGTGCTCCTTTCAGTCATGTTCATGAATACATTGAGTCCTTTTTTGAAATGAAATATGTGAAATTTCTCTGAAGAGCATAGTTTCTCTATGGAAGTGGAAAAGCTTTGTTGGCTGTAACCTGAATATGCGTTGTTGTTGTTGTTGTTTTAGGAGCCTGCAGCAGTGGCTGAAATCAATGATGATCTAATAACCGAAGGTAATGCTAATGCTGTTCTACTTATGACTGAATTTGGTTCTAATGTCCTTTTGGCATCTTTAAGTTCTTAAGAAACCAGAGTAGTGCTTGTTCACTATGAAGAAAGTTTAGGACATTGGCACAATGTAAGAACTTTAAGTAGGAGACCTGTTTACACAGGTTTTTGATACTGCCTGACTTGTATAAATCTAAGGCAACATTTTCTAACCATTTATAAATGAATAGATCAAGAGACTTCTTTATAAAATTAAGAGCCTGCCCAGTGAATTCACAAAGTGAAGATCACTTTGCTGGTAGGGTTATACAAGTTTATTTTTGGGTTCATGCACAAAGTACTCTGCCCTGAAGTGTCCCTTGGGACCACTTCTGCTGATTTGGCCTACAGCTGCCTTCTTGTGCAGCTTGTGTCTTTCTGCCAGTCGGTGGGGTGGGGTATCCCTCAGCCAATCGGCAACGAGGGCGTGGGGACAGGAGGCTTACCATGAAAAAACTAATAAAAAGGGCTGGGTGCCACAAATAGCCCACTATATTTTTACTTCCCCTCCAGGTGCTTTAAGTAGATTCCTAGTTATGTTTTAGGTATTTGGCAAACAAATGTGTTCAAATGTTTCAGTGTTTCATGACTATGACTAGATGTGTGATGCATTAAGCTGTTTTCTTTTTGTTGGAGCCAACATGTATGACCACTTACCAGGCTAACTTTTGCAGATCCGCAGCTTTTCCTGGATGTTGATGAAATGAACAAACAATTTATGGAAAGAAGCGAAGAACTATATGATGCACTCATGAATTGTCACTGGCAACCTCTGGATGTCACCTGTGAAATTCCTTTTGCTTTCTAAGTGTCTTTATATAGCATGATCGTTATGACCGAGGTGCTAAAACTACATTTCTTCTATGTTTTACTTTAGACCATAAGTTTTTAAAGCACAATGATAGGTTGTTTTTGTTTGTCTTTTGTTTTTTGCTATGCTTTGGACAGCCTTTGTAACTTTTGTTCACCACCATACTCTATGAAGCATCTTGAAATCATGTAAATATTCTAGAAATGTAAAGAGTTAATTAGGGTCTAAAGGATAGACTTGCTTGTGTAAATAAAATCTTGTTTCTGCAAACCTGCCAGTACAATTGCACTCATTCACTTGTGTGGAGTACCTGCTGTCTTCTGGCTTTATAAAATCCAAATGGTAGTTTTAATTCTATAATAATCTGCCTTCTATTCTGGGGTAGGTTCTTCTATTGAATGACTGGAGCTTGTGGATGCTAGGTTTCATGTCAAGGAAATAAATGTGAATATACTGTGCAAACTCTGTTTCCATTGGTAGCAAATGCCTTTTGACATAGAGGTTGTACCTCTCTGTCTCTGGAGCGCTCAGTTGAACATGGAGCACTTGTTCTTGTGATTTGTCTTGCAAACTGCTGATGGTGACTTTCTAAAAGAGCAGTTGTGCAGAAGCTTGCTGCACTATGTTTAAAACAAAGTAGCTTTACACTTGGGGTACATAGAATGACTAATTGGAGCTTGGCAGTTGAAGTCTATTTAATGCATTATCCTTCAAAGTCCTTGAAACCTTATCTTTGTGGGGGGAGGGTTGTTTCCCCCCTCCCGCCTGCTTCTGTCATCCTGGTTGCTGGATATTACAATGTTCATTGATTCAGACTTTAAGAAAAAGGAAAAAAAACCCAGTTCCTGCATCTGATTACTGAGTCGGTTCTTGAAAGGGTTTAAAAATCAGTGTGGCTTTTGATTTTATTCATGTCCAATCAAAGCTCTAAAACTTTACTTCTCTAATTGGGGACAGCTCTTATGATAACTTAACAAAACAAAAACTCCAAAACCCACATTATTAGATAGACCTTGCAATAGCAAGCAAACGAGCTAATTGCATAATCCTAGAAGGGGTTCAGATTTCCCTCCCACTATTTTAAGCAGCAGGAGTCTGCAGCCTTCACTGTCAGAACTGCTTCAAAATGGATAAGATCAATTAACAGTACAAGCTGCAGGTAAGGATTTGCCACAGGAACCCAATACTTGTGTCCTAGACTTGCCTTGTCTCCACCTTCTTTTCCCCTTCACCAGTCTGCTCCCCTGCTGCTTATTGCTTTTCTGGTTATTGACAAGAAACTTCCTTTTATTTCTGTCTTTGCTTTGTGCCTCCCTGCTTGAGGATGTTGTTCCAGCCCCATCACTGATGCAATGATAGAAAGTGGGATTGGAGAGCTGCTTTCAGATGACCCCGGGGTATGTCCATTAATTTTGTGGAGTGTACCAGCTGTGACTCTGCATAAATTTGCATCTGTTCCAATGCTGTCCCCAAACCTATCTGTCTTGAGCTGTGGCTAATGCCTTATGGACTCCGCATCTCTTAAGTGGGCCTTTGTGTTTTTTTTTAAAAAAAATCCTGCACCAATTGTCTACTTGGTTTCACTTTTTACCCATTGGAAGTCTATTTTGGCTTGTCAAGGGTATTTAATAGTAATATTATATTAGAATAATTAACTTTGTCTTGTACTACCAGGTGCTACCTGTACCCATCAGCTGTTGGCTCTTTTTCTCTCCTTGTTATGCATTTTTGTCTTTCAATTTCAGATTTTTTTTGCCCAAAGGAAATAGCAATTATACTAGGTTATACTATAGGAAATGTTTGTTTACAAAAATACAGTGGGGAAAGGGAACTGGATGAAAAGAGTAAATGGGTACTTCAGCTTTTTTCTCTAAGGGTAGCTAAGATCTTGGCTGGAAGAAAATTTGCATGTCTTCTTGCACTTCTTGATGTACATGGACAAAAATCCTGGGTTAGATCTTCAGCTGGTGTAAATCTACCTCATTCCATTGTCTTCAGTCTTTGACCCTTGTTTGTCACTTAAGGAATAACTTCCTGTGCAGACATTCTGGAATAAAGTAGTGTGTAAGAGCAATAGCTATTGTAAAATAGGTCCCAGTATGGACACTTCATCTGATATGGGAGTACTTTTTCCCAACTTACTCTAAATTTGGAAAAAGGCACTCACTTCAGAATAAGGCTGCGTATACCAAGAGCTAATCCACTTGATTTTTTTTTTCCTTCCCTCACCACTACCTCCCTTGCTGCTGTGTATCCTTAACAGCCAGACAGAATCTCTCCCTGTGACTGACTTGTGGAGTTTATGCATCCAAGCTTTGAAACATCACTGTTTCCAAGTAAAGAAAAGTCAAGCGCTATGCTGCTTTGTAATAAGGCTGTGTGACACTTTGGGTGGTGATTTTAGATTCAGCATGACTTTTTTTTTTCCAGTGCCCAAATCTCTGAATCCAAATTTGAATCGGGACCAATTAAAAGGTCCAAATCAATTCAAAGCTCTCCTCCACTACCCCATGCTGCGTGCGGGGCTCTGTCTGCCACAAGCCCCTGACCCCTGCCCACCCAAGCTTCCAGCCCTACAAACAGCCTACCCTGGACTCACTGGCTCCTGCAGTGGCCTCACCACTTATGGGGGCTTGTGGAAGAGCCCCACACAGTGGGGGGGGGGGGGGGGGGGGGGGGGGGGGGGGGGGGGGGGGGGGGGGGGGGGGGTGGGGCCTCCACTCGCCCGGCGGGGGGGGGAGAGAAGAAG